TCTTTCCCCATCGACTGAGGTTGAGGTAAACACCATCCGCTTGGAATCCTTCCGACTAACTCAGCAACTGACCTTGGCATCCTTCAGAAAGACAAAGAAATCCACAGGATTCTCCCTGACATGCGGCTCTAGCAGCCACCGTCAATGCAGCAGGTCAGACCTTGAGATGAAATCCACCCACAAACTGAGGCCCCAGCTTTGGCGATCTCTGGTACCCCCTGAGTGTTTAATTAGTCATTACTGATGTTGCTAAATCTTTTTAGCATCAGGAGCAACGGATCCGTTTGTGATCTTAACACTTAACAGGAAGAACAAACACTGCGCTGGATACGAGGTCTGCAAATGCCTCCCTGACGACATCACACCAAGCAAACACCTCATGAAGATTACAAGGACTGAAGTCCAGAATCTCCTTGATCCCTCGGCTTCAGTAGTTCCGTACACCTAAGTCTCTCCAGAGCACGGAGATGTTGACCCCGTGCCTTCAGATTTTAGCACATCAGCATTGAAACAATTCAGTAGCTGCAGTCCAGATTTTGTAGCACCAGAAAATAAAGAATAGCCAGCACCACTTCAGACCATGGGCAGAATCTGCCAAGGTGCTGTCACCGAGCCCTAGCAACAGCACGCGAACACAATGCTGACCTCGCCACTCGCTGGGAGCTCTCTGATCTCGGGAAAGGTTCAACCGACTCGGACTTTACGTTCTCTGACCATGAAATGGATATCCTAACACTGAGCTGACTACTTCAGTATGAAGGTTAAATTAGTACCACGTGCTAACACATGTGTAAACCCAACTTGGCATGACATCTGTTAAGTCTATCCGTCTGTGTTACAGGCATGAGCGTCTAGATGCCCTGGCTACCCAGAACTGTTGTGGTGAACAGTAATGAGACGAGCATCCGCTCTAACACCTGTTCAGCCTGATGAAACAATGCAGAAGCCTCGGCCCAACCTTATTGTCCTATAGTTAGGGAAAAATGCCTGGGTCCCCAATAGGAGGTGAATAGGAGCCGAGCCCCACTTTGACCCCACGTGTCCCTGGAGTACACTCAAGCTGAAAGGCAGACAGTGGAACTCTCATTCAAAGAAGTGTTAGTCAGTTCCGTGCTGATAGACAGTTGATACGCCAATAGGATTGCTTACATTTTTGTTTTTAGAGAGATTTTTGCTATAGGGCACGTGTGCTCGCCAGAGACAGAAAGCGAGAAATCAACCCCCAGGAGGGGATGGCC